TGTACGATTAAGTCCTATACAAGTGGTTGAATGGTGTTTTATTTAAATTTATTATGAAAATTTTACAAGCCTCTTTAATATATATATAAATGTCGGTTTGGCTCCCTCTATAGTGAAATCCTTAGTCATGTTTCGACCCTTAACAGATGAACCCTCCTTGGTCATGGTTCAGTTTTTTGGTCTCCTTGGTAACTGAAACCCACAATTAGCGCTTAAGATGGCCTAATGGCAGAAACTCCTCTCATCAAGACAATCTAACGACAAGGTAAAGAGATGGATTATCTAGGCTATTAAGATTATCAGTACACTAAATTATCATTAGAGAGCCATTACCTAATTGATAATTGAAGATAAAAGTTTAATTATAGGTCCAAAACTCACTATGTTAGTATTAATAGAATAATAAATATCGAAGTAATAGGATTGTTCACTCAATTATTTCTTTGAACCGAACTCTTACTTGAATATACATCTAAGTACAACGTCTTAAGTCCATTCAGTAACCCGAATACTTGCTTAAGTTAAGAGACTCGGACGCATTGCACGAAAAAATTACCCTTATACCTAAGATAGATACACATATTAATTAAAAAAAAAGGTAAAACTTTGTTGAAAGCATTAAAACTCTTTTTTTATTTTTTTTAATATATTAGTTAAGATAGTTATGAATAATTATTTACTAAATTATAAATATGTTAATATAATATAATGTTTGAATTCCACATACATGTTTGTAGATTATTATCTAGTATTAAAATGTATAGTAAATAATAAATTGATATATTTAGAAAATAATATTAAAAAATCATAAAAGTACAAATAATTAAGTAAGTTATAAATAAACCGGACTAAAGTGTGTATTTTTTTTTTCTTTATAAATAAATAACTCAAACTTTAACCAAATTTTTTTTCTTAATAATTATAAGATCTGACATGAGAATCGACTAATGGCTGGTACTCTTAAATTTGATTCATGTTAGTAAAAATAATACTTCATAGACTATGTCAAAAAAAAAAAAAGTTAAATTAAAATTTTGACGGATTTAATGTATTTAGATGAGGAATTAATTTAAATAAAGTCATTCATTTTTTTTTAAGAATTTCAAATATCTTAGAATGAAATGCCTTGTTTGAAAATCTAAATATTTATGAAATTTCTTAAAATAATAAAACTTTAAATGTTTTCAGAAAAGTAAGAATTTAAAATTTTTCACGTCTTTTATTTCTTATCTCACTTGTATCCTTGTATTTCTTATGTTTCATTTTATTTATATCTCTTATCTCTCATATTCTATTTTCTTTTTCCCTATCTCTCTTTCCTTTTTTTTTATCTATTCCAATTTGTTTCTTAATTATTGAATATCTAAAGATATTTTTAAATTATTTAATATTATCTAATATTAAAATTTAAAATTATTAAATATTTAAAAATTAGTTGATATTTATTTATAAAATTTAATTTTAAAATTTCAATATATATGTATATATATAAAATCAATTTTAACCATCATGAAAATCATGAAAATCAAATTATCATATCCCAATTAAAAATTTAAAATTTAAAATTGATTTATTCAAATAAAAATTTAAAAACAATAAAAATTATAATTAAATTAATTCAAATTTCAAAAATTTCAAATTTCTTAAATTTTCAAAACTCTCGGCGGAAACTTCTTTATTACACCCCAATTTCCAACTGTAGTTTCAATCTAAAAATAAATATGCCCCCTTTTGGTGGATGCTAATTAATGCTAAATCTGTATGATGCACAGGGTTCTGACAGAGACCCTTAAACAAAGATGTGATCAGTCAGAGATAATGACATGCGTTCAAACCACAGAATGGCCCAGATTCTACCCTAGACCACCTACAAACGGAGAAAAGGAAGAATCTCTTGGTTCTATGTTCTATCTACACTACCAATTGCCTTGTGCTTTTTTAATTTACTATGGTCCTGCTAATGGTAATCACTGGATTAAATTAATTAAAACCATTTCAGAATTCTTTTAAATATTCTGTGTTTCAATTTTAAAAAGTGTATTAAAATATATAAAATGGATAGTAAGATAAGAGGGGTAAATTGAGTAACTAAAACCTCTTTAAAACACCGTCTCCTTATTTAATGATAGGATGAAATCAAAATAATTTAGCCAGTCATATTATAACTTTGGATATCATGCTTACTATTTCAATCCCTTCCCAGACCTCACCACTGATCAAAATGATATTTGTTAAGATAAAAGGGGTTGAGACACTTTATGTCTCTAATAATTACACACAGACAACATATTAGAAAGTTGTATGTAGTTATTTAAAAAATATATAATTTTTTTTATATAATTTAAAAGGTATAATGGTCTACTAAATTTTTTATATATATATATTTGAGGAATATAATGGTCATTAAAAAGTGGAGACCAAAAGCGGTTATATACTCGAATATCCCCTTTATAATATGTATAGATAATAAGATTAGAATTTGTCGGTGTTGTTGGCACACGAATCTAAAGACTTGAACTAATTAAATCTAAATTTTTAATATAGTTTACACATTTTTATTATATCAATTTGAACATATTTTGTGAAAATTAATTAACTGAATTTAATCAACCAAATAAATAAAATTAAATGATTTAGCATGTTGTTTGATTGATTTGATACATTATTTTAATTATTTAGGATATTTTTAACATGTTACTTTGTAATAATTATTTACTATCTCCATAAAACTTAGTAATAACTATTTACTATAGGAAAATTTTAAAAAAAGAAATAAATAAAACTTAATATTTTGTTTTTGTAAATAGTTGATGGTAAAATTCTAATAATCTAGCATGAGATTATCTTAAATAATTTAGTTGATCAATGAAAAATCAAAAATTAACTAATTGAAAAATATTTCAAAATTAGTTATATTTATATATGAGGAGGAATCCGTTTAATAACTCATGTTCTATATCAAATTTCAACGATCCAACCGTTGAATTTAAAGTTCTTAATGCATAGATCAAACCTGTAAATTTTAAAAAATATTCAAAAATCATTTGATACTTTATTTCATTAGTTCAAATCAATGTATAAGATTTTATGATTATCCGTTAATTTGAATTAATGAAATGAAGTATCAAATGATTTTTAAATTTTAAAAAATTTGTAGACTTGATCTATGCATTAAGAACTTTAAATTCAACGGTTGGATCGTTGAAATTTGATATAGAACATGAGTTATTAAACGGAGTAAGTCTACCAGACTTACTCCTAAAGTAAATGGATCTCTCCTCTTTATATATATATATATATATATAATCTACTTTATTAATTTAAATTAATATATAAAATATTTTTATGATTATCCATCAATTTGAATTGATGAAACAAAGTATCAAATAATTTTTAAATTTAAAAAAAAAATCACAGACTTGATATATGCATTAAAAACTTTTAATATAACAGTTGGATTGTTAAAATTTAATATAGAACATAAATTATTAAATGGAGCGAGTGAATTCCTCTTATATATATCAAATTATACTAGTGTAACATTTATAACTATTATATCATTCAATAACTTTCAATTTATAGGAATTTTCTCAAAATCCATTGTTAGATAAAAACTTTGTATTACATTGAATATATATATCAAATTTTGTTAAAATTAAATAACAATAAAGCGACTTAAGAGAAATGTTCCTTTAAATCGATCTTTTGATCTATTTAAAAAATCTTCTATTTTCTATCCTTCTAAAATTTGGAATCACTACTTTTAGTCCCTATTATGTGATCCATTTTAACTATATATTTATTTTTTATTAAAGGATTAGAAAAAATGCTAATAACACACTCTTTAACATATTCTTTAACAAATTTTTTTAAAAAGCACACTCTAATTAGTTAAAATTTATTGAAAAATACAAAATTTAGTAAGTTTCATTTAATGATTCTCTCTTAATTTTATAATTTTTAACAAATTTTAACGAATAAGATTATGTGAAAATGTGTGTAATAAAGAATGTGTTACTAACACTCTTTTAAGGATTAATTAATAATCTAAAATGATGTCTACAATTGTCTATAATATCATGTTACCACATGATATCTCTAATCTTTTATTATCTACTTTAAGATAATTATTGAATAAAAAATAATGACTTTAACTAGAAGTATAATATGGTAAAAACGATTTTAATGCCTTCTTGTTTTAAACTGAAAATACTAATTCTCGCATTTTCTATTAAAATTTATTTTAGTAAGAATCTATAATTCAGATTATACATCTCAAATATATTCGGCAACTCCACATTAGTTTTACTTAAATTCAAAATAAACTTTAAAACATGCCTTTTATATATTAATTTTTAACCAACTTATGTTTTGCATGAGAAAGAAAAAAGGAACAAATAAACGCAAGGATGAAAAAACCATCGCTGGTTCACAGAAACGAGGACCAAAACAATTCCAACTAATTTCCAGAACCCAAGCTGTCCTTTTTTAAAGAGGAAAAAATTGCAAAACAGAAATCCCTGGAAGTGATGGCATTATCTAATACTAAATCTCATGTTTATTATTTTGCTAGTACCATGCTCAATGTAATACGACAGCTGAATCATTAATTGCCACAGTATTAGAAGCAAATGGAAGATGTTCTTCATCCTCCAAACAAATGATTCAGATATGAAAGCAAAACATTTAGATTGTTAACATCGAATCTGACACAAATTACGAATACTAAATCTAACAATGTCGAACAATCGCTATACAATTAACATGTGCTAAGAAGGTTGTATTCTTAGATACACAATGTCGTAACCACCCCTCAGAGGGCAAGGATAAAAGGCATGTTTGTTTTCTCATTTTTCTCCTTTGAACCGAAAAGCTGTGTGCGATAGCTTTTCCATTCAACAAAGCTTTGGAATTCCGTATCCATGTAAAACAAACACTACAAATCCAGTTCATAAGAATCATAACCCTCCCACGTGATACAAACTAGCTGACAAAAATTGTGAAGACTGTATTACTATCAATAGGAAAAAAAATGTATAATACATGTAATGAAAAAATGGTTAATACAAATATTATTTCATCGAAGATACAGAAAATACAGTTCTAGAATACAGAAGTACAACTTTTACATAGGTTAAGCCATCCCTTGACGCACTTCTTTGATGAGCCGGTTTCAGAATTTCTATTTGTACAGTAGGTTTATCAGCAGAACTCTACAGCTGTAACCCCACATCATCCAGACCCTAACAAGACCGGAAGAAGGGGAATGCAAGAAAGAAATCCTATTCTGTGCCTAACAAATGGGCAAAAATTAAAAAAATAAAAAAATAAAGAAAATGGAGGTAGAAAAAAAGTGACCATTATCAATATCCACACGGGCATACACTTTTTGAAGTCAATTTCTTCAGTTATACGCAGCAAACAGCTCGTGACCCCTACACTTCAGCAATTGTGGGTGATCGACAATAAGAAAGCATATACTTTATATGTTGGACTAGAGATAGCACAACACCGGTCATTTAGCATTGCCATCAATCAATCAATCATTCATCACAAGGGTTAATATGAATAACAATACAAATGAGTGAATAATCGCTGCGAAGCAATGCCAAAACCTCATTTGGGGGTCGAAGCACCTTGATCGAAGATGGTGCGGTACTTAAGTCCAGAACCCATGTGGTTTCCCGTAGGCCACAGCCATCTAAGGATATTTGGCCCCAAAACCTGCAGCAATTAGACAGAAACTCAAGCCCATACTTTATAGATGAAGCTTCTATTTTTGTTTTAGCGAAAAATGAAAATACAATAAAAGGGGAAGAGAGGTGGTGTGAGCATTCCGAATTCCAATTACTGATGAATTCACTCAATGAAGACAATCAAACAAATTTATTCACCTATAAACACACCGCATCATCTATAATTATCACCTTTGATTAGAGCATTCGAGTATCGGCAAGTATAATATATAGTTCCACATTATCGGAGGCACTTAAGTGGTATAAAATTCAATAACCATAAAACTTAAATGGCATTAAAATTGTGTAAAATAGTTCGTAAAAGAACAATTACAATAAAATATCAGTTGCAGAAACCTCAAACCACAAAAAGCAGTTGAGGAATGCAATTTAAAAACACTGTTAGATACAAAACCCTCCACGAGTCTTCACCAAACAGCCTAGGATTTAGAGAGTAGGTCATTGGCATATATCATTACAGCCACTTTTCTTCTATTAAAAAGTTAAATTACGGCATATGGTAAGAATGGAGCTGTGTCTTTGTATCGTCATTGAGCCAGGGTCCATCCCTACACTAATTTTTAAATGGAACAAGGTGCTAGAAAAACAACTTACAAACCATTTAGACAAGTTGATTTTGGTGAAAAACTAAAGAATAATTTTATGTCAGCAGAGGATGATAAACTGAAATTAATGATGAATAAATTGGCTCCAAACACAAAGAAAAGGAAGTTTTATATATTTCAAAAACAATATATTAGGCAACAACCGTAGGAAATAAAACAGTTCAATCTGTAATAAATTCTGGATATCAATGCTAGAAGTTTAGATCATCATCTATATATATATATATATAATAGCTTAAGTTCCTTTACAGTTAACACCATAAAGAGGCAATATTTAAAACATACATTTCCTATTAACCCGAAAGAAATGCAATGCTATAGTCAGTAAAAGTAAATACATATATCATATCATATTATCTATGCCAACAGAAATAACACATTAAACAGAATACTTGTGACACTAGTTATGATTCTGTCCTATTTCAAAATGTCAAAAGCAACAACTGTCAATTATTGCCATATTCAACCCTACCCCGTAGGCCACAGTAGTGGCTTGGGTAATCAGTAAAACATGTTAAACCATAATTCAATGGTTCAATTTACTTTAAAGAAACAGTCCCTGATCTTTGTCAGCTTTTCGCTAGTTTATAAGCTAAGTGATTATTTCTCAAAATTAAATCTGAACCTTCATATGATCAAGATAAAGCAAGTGGAGAAAGAAAATGAACCTAATGGAAAGGAAAAAAACAAAGGAAGGTGGGAATAAAACAAGGAAAGAAATTGAAAACAAAAAAAAAAGGATGCTGCATTGTAGTTTTCAGTTCTTACAGATGTCAAATTCTCATACGGGCCAAGGTCGTAGGGATGTTTATAGATACTCCCACCTTTCTCTGCAAGCCACAAAGCTCTCACTCCTTCATGATACTGCTAATACAATTGTTCAATTCAGAAAGTTGATAAAAATCCGGTCAGATAAACTAACAGTTTTGAACATAAAATCAGTTGGTAATAACCTCTATTGTTGTCTTGTTATGTAGGATGAAATAGATATGGCACCCTAAAAGCACACATAATCCTATGGATAAGGGGAACAGCAACAGTCCAGAAAGAACCTGCAAAAGGAAAGAAAAAAATCAAGAGAAAACAAATTGTTGAATACATAGTTGTTTTCAATAGAACTTACATATACAGTTCGGAAAGAGCTTCCATTTTTCTCTTCATCTTGTGAGCCATCATAAGTTAGACTACCCACAAGTAAGACCTACAAAGTTAAGTGATATAGAAAACAAAAAAGATTGTCAACACAAGCAGAACCATCAAATCTAGCACCCTGTTATGACATGCAGAAATAAATTCTTAGAATATGGATTTGAACCTAACTCAACTTCAAAAAACTGACTTGTGAGGTGAGATTTATCTCTTACTTATATACACTACTTTGGTTATATCACTAGTCAATGTAACATCTCCAACACATTCTTTCTCATTGAGCACTGAACAATTTGAATATCAAGTTTGCAAAACAAGACATATATGAGTGGTGGTCTGGTCTGATAATAATCCAATAGGCCTAACAATTGTTAAGATAAGCTTTGATATCATCTTAGAATATGAGTTTAGACCTAACTACTAACTCAACCCCACAAAATAGTTTGTAAGGTGATAGTGTTCTCCACTTATATCCACTGCTTTGGTCATATCACAAGCTGATATGGGATCCCCAACAAAAATAAAAAATTAAATCAGGCAAAAAAGTGTAATTGCTTCTTTGGAAGTTTTTTAGGTGAGCTTTTGAAAAAAAAAAAAAAAAAAAAAGTGATTCCAAACATGCACTACTAGGGAAATCATAGTAAAAGACAACCCATGCTGATAATGAAAAAGATTCAAACATACCAGGGAGTAGATGCAGGCAATTACAGCATACAAGACAGAAATGAAGAAGACTTTATAGTTTGCTAGACCAACGCAGTTATTTATCCAAATGCAATGATGATCCTTACAACCAAAAGACAACAGATTTTGTCATTATAATGAAAATCCAATATAAACCTTGATTGATAATTTAGATCATGCATACCATTCGTAGAACACATCTTTTACAAACCCGGCAATGATGTGCACGGGGAGGTTTATAGTGAGAACACTTTTGGCAATATCGCAGATCTCCACCCTGCTTGCAGATCCAAAGAAACATTGCATGAAAGTTAATTTTCATAATGCTCAATATCAACAGACAATCAAACATTTATGGGAATCTTTAGCAGATCAGAATACATCCTTTTATGTCAAGTGATTAGTTCAAATAAATTGTTAAATAAAAGAAGCCATCTCATTATAATATGACATACAACAATTTGAGCATACAAATACTAAAGAACCCAGAAGAACCTAAGCATCAAGAACTCCACAAGTTCCATACAGTTTATAAGTGCATTGATCATAAAAAAGAAGACAGACAGAATGACAACAACTCAACAAGGCTGGGACAAAAATCCAAAGCATATGCCCACATAAAAACCATGAAATTCTATAGATACCTCATACTTGACTGAATAAAGGATACAAGTGATTTTTAATCAGCATAGCATGGAAGCAAAACTATCAACTTCTGACTGAATATGACTCTAGAAGATCCCTTTTCTAATTTGAGAAGTGAAGAGAAAGTAGGTATCTGAAAAGGGCCATTAAGCAACTTGCACATAATCAAGATTAGGGTATTAAACCCAGGTTGTGGTGCATCTGTTGCTTGCAGGTTGATGTGGGTCAATACTCAATTGTGACTGCAACTAATGTGGTCCAGAACCGCAGCAAATATAGCGTGTCTACATCATGAGATGTGGGTGCACATTTTAAATCCTTGACCAGGATAATTGTATAACACAAATTCAACAACCCAGGAGATGTAAGCCCCAACTACTCAGGCTAGAGACAAATAGAACCAGAAGATTCAAACTCAGACCAGAGCATCAAAACATAAGTGAAATGTCAATGACCGAAATGAACAAAATATGCTTCACATACAAATGTGAAAAATATGCCAATGAGATTGTGATCAATAACAAAAGAACATCTCATTCAAAGTAAGACAGCCATACATGTTATAGTCTACTTTAAAAAGAAAAGGTTTTGATATGTTATATTCTAGCAAAGCCAGCGTACTTCTAATGATAATGCCAGTATACAGTATCCAAGACAATGAACAAGCACCATAGCTTAAGCATTTAACAACTAGGAAATTAAATACCAAAAGGAAAGAGAGAAAAAATGCTTATCCTGCTAAACAATCAGTTTATAAGAAAAAGGACTACAAATTTTAGTTCCTAGCCAATCAAACCATCTTGAAATCAATTTTCTTTCCATCCTAATAGTCACAGCTGATTAGAAATAACATTGATTCCAGACATCGACAAACCATCACAACTGCACTAATAAGCTTTTTCATACACAAAATTACTACAATTACAACAACATGGCTGAAGTTCAGAAAAACCTTGCACTTCCAATCATGAAAAACCATAACCATAACCTCTATCAGATAACCCCTCGCATTGGCCGCAACATCCATCAAAACCCTCATACAAACACAATGGATGCAAAAAAATTTGAAAATCACTCAACTCTCCAACTAAAACCAACAAGGAGAAATAACCAACTCATTAGATTCAGCAATGTCATTTACCACAATATCCCTCATAATAACCACTTCCTTCAATGCCCTTTTTAGCCTCCCTCTCCTCTTCACAACACTAAAAAACAATTCAACCTATTCAACTCACTTGCATCTCCCAAGACCCTCTTTGCACGTGTCCAAACTCTAAACTCTCCAACAAATACCAAATGTCCTCAAACCCTAGTCTTGTAACACACGCCAACAGATTCAATTCAACGCAATCAATCAAACCGCGAACTCTGTACCGTCATTGTAATTTCTATAAATAAATAAAAAATGAGTACGCTTCACAACGAAACAACAAACCCTTACTACGCAAGAGAATTAAAAAAGCGAGAGCAATGAACGACAGAAGAAGCCTGAAACGACGGAGAAGCGAGGGGGCGACCTTGCGTTTGATCTCGTGGACGGGGCTGTGGACGTCTTCGACGTCGGGGGCGTAGGTGGAGGGGACCCGACCCGGATCCGTGAGAATGGCGGCGCGGTAGGTGAGGGCGCAGGCGGCGGCGAGGGCGGTGAAGGCGGCGGCGTTCATGATGCCAGGGGAGGAGAGGAGGCCGAACCAACGGTCGATGAAGACGAAGACGGTGGAGACGTAAATGAAGGCGATGCCCAAAACGACGACGCTGACGGGGAGCGAGAGCGCGGAGGAGGGCTTCGTTTTGTCGGCGGAGGCCATGTCGGAGTGAGGAGGAGGAGGAGGAGGAGGCGCCGGCGCTGGCGAAACGACGGCGTCTCCGGGAATGCGGAAAAAGAGAGGACGCTGGGTCAGTGCGTTCGAACTTCGAAGATCCTCGTTCCTTCTTGTTGCCTTTAATTTTACTCTTTCCACGCTCGCCTATATACGCGCTCAGACATTACTTTCGGGGGTGCCTCTTTAATTCCTATTTCACTGTGGTTGGTTAGTTATTAACTGTTTAATTATAATTAGATTACTGCTCATTTTCCATATTATTCTTAATTATGTGCAATATTCCTCTTAACTTTCTCTCTCGCTCTTGTTTTATTAATTTACTATTATTTAAATTTTTTTTTTTTTTTTTTTGTGAATTCTGTTTTCTGGAAGGAGGAGAAAGAGGGAGGAAGAAGTGAGAAGTTGGGAGAGGAATTGCAAGAAAGGAAGAAGAAAACAAGAAGGGTTCCCCGTACTGGAGGATAACAAACAAACAAAATAATCGACTACCACAAGCAATATAGAATATATCTGCCAACAAATTTTTTATTTTAGTGATATTTTAATTCATCTTTATAAATAAAAATCTTAAATTTAAGTTTGTATATATATATATATATATATAAATTGATTTTGAAGAAATTTCACTAAAGATAATTATATAATTTTTTAATAAAAGTTAATTATTAATGAAATAAGTCGATATCTCATATTAATATATTAGATGAAATTTATAATTTTTTATAAAATTTAAAAATTATTTAATAATAATTATTCTCTTTATAGGAAGTGTGTTTTTACTTCATGATAGTGCTAATTTATTAATATTAAAACAGAGAAAAATAATTTAAAATTTAGAAATAAGTGAAAGGAAAAAATAAAATTTATAAATTAAATTTGATAATTAATTTAATTAATCTTGTGCTCTCTCAAGTTTCATTTGAAGGTAAATTAATCCAAAATACCTTTTGTTCTCTTTCAATTAACAAGGATATTTAATCAAAATAGTCTTCTATTTTCATGGTGATTGCTTTTAATTAGACTCTTTAAACTCTATTAATTTTTTACCTTCTTAGGATTAATTCTATTATTCTGAAATAAAGCCTAATTCCTTAACTATAGTTACGATATTATGGATTTACCTCCCAATTCATCCTCAAATTCCTGTCATTATGTCAATCCAAGCTAAATTCATTTAGCTTCAATAAAAAAAAAATCAAAATAAACAAGAATAACACAATGATTAACTAAATCAATTCATTAGAGAATACATAGGACTTTATCCTTATCCTTGAATTAAAAAGGACTACTCACGAGCAGCAATAAAAATATAATTAAAATTAGAAAGAGAAAGCATCAAAGTAAAAAGTAGAGTGAAAAAATATGATTTCAAAGTGTCTAGAAACTATTGAGAGTAACTATTTAAAGCTTTTGGATCAAAACTCATTAAAAAAATAGAAAAATTGTGAAGGTGCAAAGAAATTTTTAATTGGAAGGTCAGAGGTGGTCACACTGCTATGACACTCTTTGCTAGAGCAATTTAGAGCTTAGCCTTGCACCCAAATTGTTGTGGGGATCTCTCACACCTATTTGTCTATCTCTTGTCTGTTTCTTAAAAATAAAAATAAATAAATAAATAAGTAAAACCTTCATGAATTGGTCATGCAAGTCTCTCCTAAGTTTCCAAGTCCTTAAATTTCCCATCTTTTGGTCAGAATCACCTGTAGAAAAAGTGTCCTAGCTACAAAACCACACAAAAGCGTAACAAAGTCTCACAAATAAATAAATAAAAAAAAAAACCTAAGAAATATGCAAGAATCTAATCCTAAATCAACAATAAATTAATAATAAAAAAATACATATATAGGGCATGCAAAATATGTTATGAAGTGCAACGCATCAACAAACCCCAAATTAAAAAATTTTCATGTCTTCAAGTAACAATTGTGACACTAGCAAACATTTCGAGTTCAATGAAACATGGGTCCTTAGAATTTTAAACACAACCAAAAATAATTAAGCAAGGAACAATCTCAATCAAGTTCAATTAGAGCTTAGTTTCAAGTTCAGTTAGAGCTTTATTTTTCCATAATAGATACTTACACTAATAGATCACTCATATTTTCACACACAAAGTGTTCATGGATGAGAACTGTCTGCTCAATTTTCTTAATTGAAAGTAGTTTACCACAAGCTTAGTAAGGAACCCTATCACCACTGATCATTCCAATTATAAAAAATGAGTCACAAGTAAAATAAATTATGTTAATTTGTTAACTTGTTAATAATTATACTTTAAATATTAAAATTAGAAATTTATATTTTTATTTTAATTCTTAGTATTATAAAATATAATTAGTAACAATTATCATTATTATTTTATTAATACTGATTAGATTATAATTTAATTACGGTTGCACCATTAAACTATTAAATCATAAATTAATATCTTAATTGGTTACCATCAGTCCAATTTTAAAAATATTAATTTAATATGATTAATATATTATTATTGATTTAATATTTGGCTAGTTATATATATAATTTATTTATTTAATTTGTACTTTAAATATTAAATCAATATTACCCTTTTCTAAAATAAATTATCCTTTTCTTAAAAAATAAAATTTAACAAAATTTTAACCAAAATTTTCGTTGGTATTTAAAGTAAAAAAAAAAATCTATGTTAAAGATATCTTAGCTGTTTAGAATTTAGTTTATGTTTAGTGGAGTTGATGTTGGGAGAAATATGAGGAAAGAGGATGGAAGATGGTGAAAGTTTAATTTTTTTTCTTTTTTTTTTAATATGTTTGGAGTTTAAGGTTGAGAGTTTAGAAGAGAATTGAAAGAAAATGTGAGGAATATTCGATGAATTCCACATGTTTTCTAATCCTCACATATTAAAGAAGATTTATGGAAAAATTTGTTTTTGTTTACAATTTTGTCCTCACTTTTTGTTTGCACTTGCGTTTTTAATAATAAATAATAATTGTATAATTTAATGTATACAGATTTTTCAATCATGCGCAAACTTGCACATGCTAAGGCGTTAATTATCCATTATCGATTAATTTCAGTTACCTAATTAATTATGACGCCACCCAAATTATTATCTCTTTTCATTACTGTTATGCCTTTTCATTATTCCATTAATTCCAAACTTAACACTATTTTAGACGAACCCACCCAAACAATTCCCTTCCTCACCTCCTTTTGATAGATGGGAGATAGATAAATAAAGTAAAAGAAGATAAAATAAATAATATAGTAAGTGGTATGAAAAATGACAATGAATTATACTGAAACCAATATTTATCTATAACATATAATAATGAAAGAGATTGTCGAATTTGGTGTAAATGTTTTTTTTTATAGATAATTTTATCTTTAAATTTTTAAATGATTAAAAAATATTAAAAATAAATTATTCTTTAAAGATAAGACTTGAACTCAACTTTTAAGTTTGAAAATTAAATACAACACCAATTGATCTAATAAATATTGATAATTTTTAAATATTTTTATTAAATAAAATATAGAAACATGAAATGTTTTGATCCTATTAATGAAATAAAAATGATAATTAAATATATATAAAGTAATGTTACATAAATATTATATTATAATTTTAAAATATTAAGATCTAAAATAAGATATCAATTCTTATTTTTAATATTTAAAGTTAATGTAAAAGTTTAAATATAATATTTAAGTTTAAATTTTAATAGTATATATATATATAATAGCAATTTTTTATTTAAAATATAAATTTTAAATTAATATAATATAAAAATATAAAATACATGATATAAAAATATAAATTAATATAAATGGTTATAATTTTATAAAAAAATTATTTAAAGAATAGATAAAATAATTTATTCTAGTTTTAATTTTTACTAAGCTAATGCACACAAAATTGCATAAGAAAAGTAAGACTTCTTTATTAACATATTGTAGCATATATAATATATAAGCCTTTTACAATGAACTATGAACATCAAATTGGGTCTTGTAAGTAGGGATGACAAATATACCCTTACTTGCGAGTAATACCCGAACCTGTCTTGATTTTAACGGAGAATACCCGGTTTGACTGGGTATGGGTATCGGGTACGGGTACGGATACAGGTATATACTTACCTTCCCCTACTCGTACCTGTATCCGTTCCAGTTCTCATTTTTATTTTTATTTTTTGGTTCGTCCCTAGAGTATCCACCACCGATAGCAGTGACTAATCTCCTTTCTACGTTGGAGGCACCTCAAAGGGTAGGATAGCTGGTCCCAAGATTTAATGCGGCTGCATACACAAGGCAGGATTCGAACCCCCTAACCTTGCTTAAACATGGATCAACCCCTACCGGTTCTCATTTTTAATTTAATACCTACTTTCAATTTAATTATATTAAAGAATTTTAATATTTTTTTATGTGTGATTATTTATTATAATATGAGATAGAGAAATAACTTAATTATAACTATAATTATAATATAATAAAAAAATAATTTAAAAATATCATATTTTTTATAAAAATAAAAAATAAAAAATTGATGGGTACGGGTACAAGTACAGGTATACCCGATACCCGATAGGGACAGGCATGGGAATGAAAATCACATACCCGATGGGTACAGGTACGGGGACGGGGACGGGGATGAGTTTGACTCGCGGGGACGGGGATGAGTATCATGAAACCCGTACCCGACCCGCCCCATTGCCATCCTTACTTGTAAGTGTTAAATACATGAGCTCTTGGAGCTTGTTTAAGCCCGTAGAGTGCTTTCTTGAGTTTGTAGACTTTCTTTTCCTTTCTTATCTTAACAAATCAAGTTGTTGCTCTACATACATAATCTCACTCAATTCCCCATGCAAGAATGTACTCCACATCTTGTAACATCCCAAATTTTATACAATAGTTAATTATTATTTTTATATTTATGAAAATTATTTTTTTATAGTTATTAATTAATAAAAAGAGTTTTTATAGAACATTTTAGAGATTTTTTTTAAAATATTTATAAAAAAAATTTATATGAAATTCTATTTTTTTTAGGCCCTGAACGGGCTATTCCAAAAAGTGGAATAGGTCGTTCCAAACTATGAAAGTAAACTATTTTTGAAGGACCAGAACGGGCCGTTCTAAATTAGTAAAGAGGCCAATTTTGGTTATTCCAGAAC